TACATCTGTATCGGTCCACAATTGGTCATAGCTCCCATATAAGGTCCACTTTCGAAGATCACTAAAATGAACATATTTTATTGATAAATAAAGCTATTGATAAATAAATTTGCCATGAATATGTTTTGTATATACATAAATCATCCTACGGAATTTTTTTCCGGATCGGTCCATAATTGGTCATAGCTCCCATATAAGGTTCACATCCGAAAATCACTTAAACGAGCATAATTCATAGATAAATAAAGCTATCTGGATAAAATTCGACATGAATGAATTACTCTACGAAATTTGTTCCGGATCGGTCCATAATCGGTCATAGCTCCCATATAAGGTCCACATCCGGAAATCACTCAAATGCGCATAATTCATTGAGTAATAAAGCTATCAGTGTAGAACTAGAGGTGAATATATTCTGTATATAGATATAAATCATTCAGTGAAATTTTTTCCGGATCAGTTCACAATTGGTACTAGCTCCCATATAAGGTCCACATCCTAAAATCACTTAAACAAGCTTAATTCATTGATAAATAAAGCTATCGGGATAAAATTCGATATGAATATGTTTTGTGTATAAATATTAATTACTTTACGATTTTTTTTTCGGATCGGTCCATAATTGGTCATAGCTCACATATAAGGTCCACATCCGAAAATCACTTAAATGCGCATAATTCACTGATAAATAAAGCTATCAGGGTAAAACTCGACGTGAATTTGTTTTGTATATATAAATCATTCCTGAAAATTTTCAACATCGGTCCATAATTGGTTACATTCCATATAAGGAATTTTTTCAGCATCGGTCCATAACTAGCTCCCATATAAGATTCACTTCTGAAAACCACTCAATACCACATAATTTATTATTAAACTCGACATGAGTATGTTCTGTGTATAGATAAATCATTTTGATTATTTTTTTTTCGAAATGGTCCATTATTGGTCATGGTTCCCATATAAGTTATCGGCAGGATCGGAACATATTAAGTCGAAGAATAATCGGTCGATATCTGAAAATCACTTAATACAAAAGTTTCTGGGCCTAATCAAAATTAGTTACATACATACATTCATAAATAAGTTACAAAATGATAAATAGTATCTTAATTACGGTAACAAAACATGTGCCGGGTTTTACAGTTCTCCATAAGGAAAATAAATAACTATAAGTTCGGCCCTATACTTTAACCATTTATAACATTATTTTGGGTTTTAAAAAAAGTTGTTTGCAGGTGGATGGCATTTAAGATTCGGCAGTGCCGAATATAGCATTCTAACTTGTTTCAGTACTTTTGATCGCAAAACTTATTACAAACTTTCAGAAAAAGTCCATACATTAGACAATTACTCTATATACAATTTCTCTATAGACAATTACATTAGACGATTACTCTATAGATATGTCCCTACACTAGTCTAACGACTAGTAGGTAGATTAGTGCACAGCCTGTTATATATACAAGAACATGTATTAGTTCATAACATAGTCAGGCGACTTGTTAATAGTCTAGTATATATACTAGTCTATAGTCTAGTCTATAGTCTAGTCTATAGTCTAGTCTATAGTCTAGTCTATAGTCTAGTCTATAGTCTAGTCTAGTAGTCTAGTCTAGTCTATAGTCTAGTCTATAGTCTAGTCTATAGTCTAGTCTATAGTCTAGTCTATAGTCTAGTCTATAGTCTAGTCTATAGTCTAGTCTATAGTCTAGTCTATAGTCTAGTCTATATTCTAGTCTATAGTCTAGTCTATAGTCTAGTCTATAGTCTAGTCTATAGTCTAGTCTATAGTCTAGTCTATAGTCTAGTCTATAGTCTAGTCTATAGTCTAGTCTAAAGTCTAGTCTAGTCTATAGTCTAGTCTATAGTCTAGTCTATAGTCTAGTCTATAGTCTAGTCTATAGTCTAGTCTAGTCTATAGTCTAGTCTATAGTCTAGTCTATAGTCTAGTCTATAGTCTAGTCTATAGTCTAGTCTATAGTCTAGTCTATAGTCTAGTCTATAGTCTAGTCTATAGTCTAGTCTATAGTCTATCTATAGTCTAGTCCTATAGTCTAGTCTATAGTCTAGTCTATAGTCTAGTCTATAGTCTAGTCTATAGTCTAGTCTATAGTCTAGTCTATAGTCTAGTCTATATTCTAGTCTATAGTCTAGTCTATAGTCTAGTCTATAGTCTAGTCTATATTCTAGTCTATATCTAGTCTATAGTCTAGTCTATAGTCTAGTCTATAGTCTAGTCTATAGTCTAGTCTATAGTCTAGTCTATAGTCTAGTCTATAGTCTAGTCTATAGTCTAGTCTATAGTCTAGTCTATAGTCTAGTCTATAGTCTAGTCTATAGTCTAGTCTATAGTCTAGTCTATAGTCTAGTCTATAGTCTAGTCTATAGTCTAGTCTATAGTCTAGTCTATAGTCTAGTCTATAGTCTAGTCTATAGTCTAGTCTATAGTCTAGTCTATAGTCTAGTCTATAGTCTAGTCTATAGTCTAGTCTATAGTCTAGTCTATAGTCTAGTCTATAGTCTAGTCTACAGTCTAGTCTGTAGTCTAGTCTATAGTCTAGTCTATAGTCTAGTCTATAGTCTAGACTATAGACTAGATTATAGTCTAGTCTATAGTCTAGTCTATAATCTAGTCTATAGTCTAGTCTATAGTCTAGTCTATAGTCTAGTCTATAGTCTAGTTATAGTCTAGTCTATAGTCTAGTATATAGTCTAGTCTATAGTTAGTCTATAGTCTAGTCTATAGTCTAGTCTAGTCTATAGTCTAGTCTATAGTCTAGTCTATAGTCTAGTCTATAGTCTAGTCTATAGCTAGTCTATAGTCTAGTTATTAGTCTAGTCTATAGTCTAGTCTATAGTCTAGCTAGTCATAGTCTAGGTCTATAGTCTAGTCTAGTCTATAGTCTAGTCTATAGTCTAGTCTATAGTCTAGTCTATAGTCTATAGTTAGTCTATAGTCTAGTCTATAGTCTAGTCATAGTCTAGTCTATAGTCTAGTCTATAGTCTAGTCTATAGTCTAGTCTATAGTCTAGTCTATAGTTAGTCTATAGTCTAGTCTATAGTCTAGTCTATAGTCTAGTCTATATTCTAGTCTATATTCTAGTCTATCGTCTAGTCTATAGTCTAGTCTATAGTCTAGTCATATAGTCTAGTCTATAGTCTAGTCTATAGTCTAGTCTATAGTCTAGTCTATAGTCTAGTCTATAGTCTAGTCTATAGTCTAGTCTATAGTCTAGTCTATAGTCTAGTCTATAGTCTAGTCTATAGTCTAGTCTATAGTCTACTCTAGTCTATAGTCTAGTCTATAGTCTAGTCTATAGTCTAGTCTATAGTCTAGTCTATAGTCTAGTCTATAGTCTAGTCTATAGTCTAGTCTATAGTCTAGTCTATAGTCTAGTCTATAGTCTAGTCTATAGTCTAGTCTATAGACTAGTCTATAGTCTAGTCTATAGTCTAGTCTATAGTCTAGTCTATAGTCTAGTCTATAGTCTAGTCTATAGTCTAGTCTATAGTCTAGTCTATAGTCTAGTCTATAGTCTAGTCTATAGTCTAGTCTATAGTCTAGTCTATAGTCTAGTCTATAGTCTAGTCTATAGTCTAGTCTATAGTCTAGTCTATAGTCTAGTCTATAGTCTAGTCTATAGTCTAGTCTATAGTCTAGTCTATAGTCTAGTCTATAGTCTAGTCTATAGTCTAGTCTATAGTCTAGGTCTATAGTCTAGTCTATAGTCTAGTCTATAGTCTAGTCTATAGTCTAGTCTATAGTCTAGTCTATAGTCTAGTCTATAGTCTAGTCTATAGTCTAGTCTATAGTCTAGTCTATAGTCTAGTCTATAGTCTAGTCTATAGTTAGTCTATAGTCTAGTCTATAGTCTAGTCTATAGTCTAGTCTAGTCTATAGTCTAGTCTATAGTCTAGTCTAGTCTATAGTCTAGTCTAGTCTATAGTCTAGTCTACTCTATAGTCTAGTCTATAGTCTAGTCTATAGTCTAGTCTATAGTCTAGTCTATAGTCTAGTCTATAGTCTAGTCTATAGTCTAGTCTATAGTCTAGTCTATAGTCTAGTCTATAGTCTAGTCTAGTAGTCTAGTCTATGTCTAGTCTATAGTCTAGTCTATAGTCTAGTCTATAGTCTAGTCTATAGTCTAGTCTATAGTCTAGTCTATAGTCTAGTCTATAGTCTAGTCTATAGTCTAGTCTATAGTCTAGTCTAGTCTATAGTCTAGTCTATAGTCTAGTCTATAGTCTAGTCTATAGTCTAGTCTATAGTCTAGTCTATAGTCTAGTCTATAGTCTAGTCTATAGTCTAGTCTATAGTCTAGTCTATAGTCTAGTCTATAGTCTAGTCTATAGTCTAGTCTAGTTAGTCTATAGTCTAGTCTATAGTCTAGTCTATAGTCTAGTCTATAGTCTAGTCTATAGTCTAGTCTATAGTCTAGTCTATAGTCTAGTCTAGTCTATAGTCTAGTCTATAGTCTAGTCTATAGTCTAGTCTATAGTCTAGTCTATAGTATACTTAACGAATACAAAATCGTTAGATGTAACGAGAGCTTAATTAAGAATCTCATACGTGGAAATGTAAAACAGAGAACACTTTTGTTGACATTCCCAAGCTTTGGTCGATAGATTATGGCGTCTCTACGAATGTCGTTCAAAACAAAATACGATCTGAACGATTTTGCACATACATACATACGTATATTCTCTTGATATACACGAAGGTCCTTCGGGACAAACCTTGGGCTAGCATCCAACTGTAGTAGGATGTTAAAGTTTGTATGACTCATCCGGTTGGATCCCTACAGAAACAGTTTAGTCAGCATGATATTATGATTCTTGGCTCCTGAAACTTTCGTTTACTAAGGGGTTATTTGCATACAACTATTTTGAGACCACACTGAACGGCCAATTAAGGATATACTCACCTCTTTCAGTTAAAAAGTTCAGTAAGCATTCCAATAAATAAGAGTAAGTTGAATATTTTTTCTAATTTCGTTTTATTTATTACGATTTTTTAAATATAATTTTTTTTCACTCAACAACGGTATTTATTCCCACGTTTACACTAACTGAGTTTTCATCTGAAACGATGTATGTATATTATAAATAGAATTTGTTTTTATTTTTCTTCCAAGTGAATTTTTCACTTTTTCTGTAAAACTACTCACATGATAACTCCGATAGTGTAAGTAAGCTTTATTGAATTCTTTCTTTTTTTTTGTCTATTTTAAACTTTATGATAAATAACATTTCATTTTCAAATTCCTAAAATTTCAACTATTTTTTTTTATTAATAAATTATGTTTTTGTTTTTATTTTTTTTGGAATTCAACATAATATTTTGCTGATTTATAAATTTCAAAACAAAATCTATGATTTTTATTAAATATTAAATTTAAGCTTAGTTATGTGTTTGGAGAGGAAAAAAGGAGTTTTAAATAAATTATTTAAAAGAAATTAAATATTGCGTGTATTTTTACAATTTATCACAATATTTGCTGTTGATACGATTTTTTTGGTTTTCTCTAGGTGTAAGTGGATCTAGTTATGATGTTTACAATTTACTACTTTAAAAATTTCGGGTTTTTTAAATACATTTTTTTTAAAAAGTTGTTAGGACTTGTAATGTTTTTGGTGAAAATATTTCTAGTCCAAAACTTAAGGTGTTTTTTTCTAATTACGTATTGCTTTTAAAATTGTTATTACAGGATTATTATATAAATATCAGTTTTAGTTTTTTTTCGATTTTCCTGTTTGTTTTGTTTCATATTTTTAAACCTATATTTTTTAAGTTTTAGAGCCTTAAAATTTCTTACAGCAAAAAAGCATTTAAGATTTTTTCTAATACCAAAAATCTTAAAAATTGTTTTGTATTGTTTTTGTGTTTAGCTTAAACTAC